ATTGCTTCTTTCTTGTTCCTGCATTATTCTAAGACTTTAGCCCGACAGAAATTGCAAGCATAACATAACATTTGGATATCTCCTGCATATGTTCAATATCCGCTTTTTTTAATCGCTCTACATATGATGGATCTTTAATCATATTCATCTTGTATTTATGCCAAAACTTTAAAAATTCTCGATGAATTGCTTCTTCTGCTTATTCATGCATCGATCTAAGACTTGAGCCTGGTGAAGAAGTAAGCATGAAAATATTTTTATTTTTAGCTATTTTTTTTTTAAATCAATTTGCCCCAATTGTGGAAAAGTTAGTTTTGCTCTAAAAAAAATCTTGGCACAAAAAAATTTTTTTTTACCGTTTTCTGCCCTTGTCTGAATTTTATTATTTTTATATTTAGGATAGCTCTGGGGCAGTGGAAGGAATTAAAAAAATATTTATTTTTTTTCACCAAAATATTTATTTTTATCTTACACAAGTTTTCTATATACAGGCGTTTTCAATTTTAAAAATATTCATATTTTGCTCCACCCTAATGTGCAGTGACTTTTCAGAAACTCAGATTTTTTCTTATTTAATTTTTTAGTAAAAAATATTATTTTGATGTTGCTAAAATTAAAAAATATATCAGTGAATTTTGTTTTCAGGAAAGTAAATAAAAAAATTCCAATTGTTATCGTCATGTTTGATGATTTTTATTCGTTCGTGAGTTTTGTATATGCCAACCAAAGAATTTGCATTTTTGACTGTCAATAAAATAATTTTTTTTCGATTTTCTTTAAATTGAGCCAAACTTTTAAGTTATTTATACATTTCACGAAATTCGTATAAAGCTACGCCAATGATCTTTAAATAAATATATTTAATCGAAAAATCGTTTGCCTTACAAAATATTATAGGCAGTCGAAAAACTATTTTTAAATAAGTATTATAAACTAACAATTAATTGTTTTTAATATTGCTCCATTTCAATTCTGCTAAAATTTGTTTGTCCAAACATTTTACCTTAAAATATCACCCCAGTTAACAACATCAAAAAGCCCAAAACAAATCGACCACAAACTTCATCGTCATATGACGCTGCATATTAAAAATCTTTTTATAAATTTTTTGTTTTCAAAAACTAAAACATCCCATATGCTGAGTCTCTAATAAACAGTGCCGATTAGTTTGGCACTGTGAACTGTACAAATTGTTTATTGTTTTATGGCAAAATTTATGACTGTTTATTCAATGGGTGCATTGCCTTTAAAGTTGTGAAAGTTTTTTTGAAAAGATTTTGATATATTTTGGTTGCACGCCCCCGCGTGATCCAAAATAAAATCAAAAACAGAAAGATTTTAGTGTGGTTAGACGTTGGTGTGTGGTTAGGTTTTAAAATGTACAACTACAGACACAGAGTAAGATATTTTTTAATATTTTAGTGCTTATCATTACCCCTTTAATATACATAAATATAATGATATCGGTAACTATTTATTTGCGTTTGATTAGATTAATAATATAATAATTAATAATATATCAGATTGCAAGTATTATAATAATTATTAGTCACTTTAATGGTTTTAGAAATATGATTTAAACATTTAGAAATTGTATCCCAAAATTGTATTAATACTTTTAAGAAAAAAAAATGCAATATCAATTATTTGTTTACTTATTATTACTCAAGAAACATTTTAATAACATTTTTATAACCGAGTGATCAAAGGGCGTCTCAGAATTTAATCGGAAGTTTTTTATAGTCAATAGAACTCAAAAATAAGTTTTAATGAACTCGTTATTATTATTAGAGTAGGCAATTAAAAATATATATTTATTGTCTCTTATTTTTTTTTCTTTTTGGTTAATGCACAAGTTTTTGAAAAATAAAATATTTTTTTAATAACTTCTCGAAAACAAAGCTTTAAAACATACAAGTTCATATAAATTTTTCTTCTTATTTTTTCGAGTTCTATTGACCGCTAAATTTTCCCTGTATAATATACAGTGTCTCCAAGAATTGATTTACAAAGAGGGATTTTATATATCAAATTATAAGTAGTTTTCTAGTGCAGTTAATTTCTTACTCATAGTTTTTGGGCAAAATTTTAATTAAAAATAGTAAAACTATGCAGACAAAAATAATTTAATTCAAAAATCAAGAATATATACAGGGTAGGGTGTTTCCACTCAAAATGGATAACGTAATAAAGGCTGTAGATATCATCGGGGCTAACACACTTTCAACAAAATATTTTTTATTGAGCTTTTGTTTTTAAATTACTTTTATTTTACATACCTTTTTATCTTTGTTATTTAGGATCATATTTTAAAAAATGAAAGTTTTTTGAAATTGTTAACATCTACAATTTGTATTTTTTTAAACAAAAATATCAACCCAGAAAGATAAAGAGGTTTATGTAAACACAAAAGAAGGTGGTTGATAATTCAAAAACAAAAACTCAAAAAAAAAATTTGTATTGGAAAAAAGTGAGATCTACAACCTCTATTAAGTTGTTAATTTTGAGTGGAAAAATCCTGTATATATTCTATTACACAAGAGCGTGGAAAAATTAATATTCACCATAACCAAAAACAAAACAGCCATTAAAATTTTTATTTGATTATAAACATAATATTAAGGCTCCAATCTCTTTTAATGTTTAATAAAAAAGACACAATTTTAACGGCTCTGTTTGTATTTATTCGAATACTACAGTCTTTGGTCAAGCATTTACTTTCCGAACACAGACCTAACAATAACAAAAAATGCATAAGTTGCTAAAAAGTGTTAAAAAACTGGGGTTTAGTAGAAGTAATGTGAGTAGAGGCTAATGTGCTTAAAATAATAATATATATAAAATCAACAGGGTGCCTAGGTTTTAGTAGCAGAAGGCAGACTGCAGAATGTTAGTTTAACCAAAAAAAGTCCAAAGAATTCCTGAGAAGTTTTTAGTTACCTATGTCCTGCTACTAAAATCTGGGTACCCCTGTATATACAGTGTGTTCTCGGATCGGGTTTCCAATAGAAAAACTTTTTTATCAAGCATTTTTACGAGAAAATATAATTTCTCATACAAACTCCTGCTTGATAAAAATTTGGAATTAAATGTGAAGTACCTATTTATTATATTATAGACGAATTTTATAAGAGAAAGTCATCGACTTTAGTGATATATTATGTATAAAGTTTGATAAACGCCATTTTAGGCACGAATTTGAATAAAGCTTGCGAGCGAGTGTTTAATTAAATGAGCGCCTAGAAAAGTTTATAAACAAGTTGCATACTATACTTTTTCTACGACAAATACTTATTATTATCTTAATATTTGTATAGATCGACATCTATAAAACAATAGAGTAGCCATTCTTGGGAATCAGTATTACCGGCGCGCCGGTAAAAATGTCAAATTTTTGTGTGTAAATCAAATGGTATCCTTTGGAAATTGACTAACAACAGTTCTTCACATTAAAAGTGAAAAAAATGTTTTATAGGCCCTCCATCCGAAATTATGTTAAATCTAGTTTACTGCCGGCGAAATTAAAAGGTCAGTACAATATTTATATGAACTTTTCATTTTTGTATTGAGATAATAAAATAATTTAGTAATATTTTATAAGAAGGGCACTTTTAACGATTGTATGACATTTGAAAACTGTCAACTAACTTCAGCGGGTGACTGTTGCTAACTTCAGCCCGTGACTAAAACGCCATAAAGCCAATTGTCAATGTTTATTTAAAAGGTCACTTAGTGTTATAGCAACATGTACGATAATGAAAGCAAAACAATATTTTATTTTAAATAAATAATTTTGTAATTTATAAATAAATAAATGAAATAATTTTGAATTTGTCAGGCATTTTTTCTATAAAATAATAAATAAAGGTACTTTTCCCTCGAAGCATTTTCATGCTTTCTTAATTTTTTTGGAAAACTCAACAGGAGAGGATTTTTTTCGTAAAATAAATAATAAAAGAGTTTTTCCTATTGTCAACCCGATTCGTAGACACACTGTATAAAATATGAAATAAAATGTATACATAACAAAATATTTGGATACTGGGTGCAGATCAGTAAACCTGAAAATGTTACACGTACATACATAAAAAAATCTGAAAATCTGAAAAAATATTTTTGGAAATTGTAGGCCTGGTGGATATAAAATTAGTAACATTTTAAGAGTTTCTGGTAAACCTGCAACTGTGTAAAATATTTGTCGCATGCTTGCCAGTGACAACGCAAGTAACCTATGTCCAAATACACAACTCTGGTAAGATTTTATAAAGATATTTTACTATAATATTCACTATTTCTATGCCTGACTATAGCACTCTATTTTTGGTCAAATCACTGTAGGTTATCTGTGCCAAAAAATTATCATTTTTAAAAGTCTCGATGTTTTTTTTGTGAAAAAATTGACATCCGATCAATATTAAAAAAGTTACAAGCCAAAACCTAATGCTAATTTTTTGGTGGATTTAAGTGACTGGACTATTTAAACTATGTAGATTATGTAGCCATTAGTTTGTAGTGTATATAGAAGGCCCATTTTCGGTAGGTAAAACTCTTAGAAGATAAATACAAAATTATAGCACCATTTATTATGATAAAACAACCCTCATTTCACTTCATGTAAAGTCTGTTCTACCAAGCACAGTAAAAACAGTTTTTTAGATAGTAGAATTCACAACACTACACTAAGAGAAATATGTTTGTTAAAATGAATTCAACCTTTGACTAACCGAATTGATTAATTTTAGGACTAACCAAAAATTCATTGGTCAAAGTCTGAAACATCAAAAGTATTTTTGGACTTTATGCCAGAGTCTTGCTTATATTTATCTTATATTTCTCTCAGTGCTATTATTATTAGAAAAACTTAAGTCCAGTCATCCTCATCTTCATTGTCATAAATCAGTCATCAGTTAAGTTGGTTTTTATTAGAGTTCTTGAAAAATCGAAATAATTTTTTAATTTTTGCTAAAAAGGTTTGTTTCTGAAGATTGATTTGTTTTCAGGGCTCAGCTGATTCTAACTATTCACAGCCTTCTTCAGATCTGTCGCTGGACGAGGAAAAGGAAACGCTTCGCCGTGAGAAGGAGCGTCAGGCGCTTAGTCAATTGGAAAAAGCGAGGGTAAGCATCAAATTCTATAAGTTTATAAAATTCTTACAAATTTTAGATTATTGAAATTTCCGGCGACATAGAAAATGTTGCCTTGAAATATTCTAACGAAAATAGCTCAAGTTTATAGCATATTTACAGTCAGTAAAACGTTTTAAATATAGTGTTGCCCATAAAAAATATCATAAAAATCTAATCTAATTTTATTTTTTTGCCAATATTTATTTTGTTTTTTTTTCAGACAAAGTCGGTAGCATTTGCCGTGCGAACCAACGTATCGTATAATGGTAAAATAGATGACGATTCCCCGGTACACGGTTATGCGATATCTTTTGATGTTAGAGATTTTTTACATATTAAGGTAAGGAAAATACACACCCTAGATTCATTTATAATCTAAATTTTAGATCATACAAGTTTTAGGATATTTCTAAACAATAAATTGCCTCTTGAAATTAGAGAACTAAATTTGATCCATTTTAAAACTAGGATAAAATTACTTAATAATTAATGTTTTTACATCTACAATGATGGAATTCTTAATAATTTTAATATTGTGTGAACTTTATTTCTTATAAGTTTTGTTAATAATTAGTTAGGAACAATCTCTCTATGGCTTGTGCAAAACTTTATATTAAAGCCTATTTCTTATCTTATCATCTTATCAAAACAACTTGCCCAGTTGTTGAAAGGTTCTTATTAAGAACTTCTTAACCATTTTTGGTACATTTATTTTTATACACCATTGCATAATTAACCTCTTTTGCTAGACCTACTTTTACATCAATGTAAAATTTACTTTTTCTTGCTTTGGTGCCATTTAAAAACTGTCTCAAAGATACTTATACCACTTGTTCAGTTGCAGAAAGGTTTTAAACCATTTTTGGCACAACTTTTTTACACACCAAGGCACAATCAATCTTTTCTGATAGACATTCTTTTACAACTTGCCTAGGAAACACCAAAATATCTTGATCAATTGTAGGAAACTTCTAAATCATTTTTGCTTGCCTTGGTGTAATTTAAAAACTTTTTGAAAGACACCAAAACCACTTGTTTAGTTGTAGGAAGGTTTTAATTAATTTTTTCTAGACCTATGTTTACAATGCAAAATCAACTTTTTTTTGCTTTGGTGTCATTTAAAAGTTGTCTAGATAACACCAAAACAACTTACTCAATTATAGTAAAGTTAAAAATCATTTTTGCTAGACCTATTTTTATATTCCAATGTAAAATTAACTTTTTTCTTGTCTTGGTGCCATTTAAAAACTGCTTAGAAGACACCAAAACCACTTGTTCAGTTAAAGCCTTTTTGCAAGAGATTACCAATACCAATACCAATGAAAAATCGACTCTTTTCTTGCTTTGGTGATATTTAAAAATTGTCTGGATAACACCAAAACAACTTGCTCAATTAAAAGAAAGTTCTAAATTATTTTTGCTTAACCTACTTTTACATTTAAATGTAAAATTAACTTTTTTCTTGTGTTGGTGCCATTTTAAAATAGTTTAAAAGATACCAAAATCACTTGCCCAGTTGTTGGAAAGTTATAAACCATTTTTGCTAGAGCTCTTTTTACATTGAAATGTAAAATGAACTTTTTTCTTATCTTGGTACCACTTAAAAATGGTTTAGAAGACCAATACAATTTGTCCAGTTGTAGGAATCTTCTAAACCGTTTTTGCTAAACATATTTATACTTAACGTAAAATCAATTTTTTTCTTGTTCGGTTCTTGCTTTGATGCCATTCAGAAACTGTTTAGAAGACACCAAAACAACTTGGCTAGTTCTGGAAATGTTCCTTTTTCCTTTTCACTAATATTTTTTTTCTCATAGGAAAAATACGATAATAACTGGTGGATCGGGCGTTTAGTGAAAGAGGGTTGCGACATAGGTTTTATCCCTTCGCCGGTGAAGCTAGAAAATTTGCGGTTGCAGCAGGTACAAACGCGGACCACGAAGCTGTACTCGAGCAAAACAAGTTCCACAACTAACATCGGCGCAGCTGGTAACGATGTTTCGAGAGGTAGCACTCCTCCCACACCCGGTATGTCCCATCCAAAACGGTGGCGGTTTAAATTTTTCGATGTTTACGTATATATACTTATTTTTTTCTATATGTTTAACGTGATGGAATGAAGACTGCTGACTTTTTGTTTTGCTAGAGGTTTTTTGATCAAAAATTTTGTCATTCTCATTTACTTTCACTTCATTGGATCACGCACAGGGAGTTTTTTCAACGTGTGGAGAAAAATTAAAAGTGTTTCCCACTTCAAAATGTTTAAAACGTAAATTTATATTTATTTTTCTCCACATACTTTAAAACATCCTGTCTAAAATTTTTGATCGAATAACGGCCTCCATTTATGTTTTATCTGGTCCTTATATGTCCTGTGTCCAAAAAATGTATTTTTTTGCATTTTGCTATTTAAAATCGTAATATAAATAATAAACTAAATAAATGTTTAGTTGGAATGTTAAAACACCAAAGAGAAGAGCTCGGGTAAATTATCACTATTTTTTTGAATCCTTGTATCCAAAATCCAAGCAATTATTCCCTGACTTCACGTAGTTGGTAGAATAGATGTAGTAGTTAGTGTAGATATTGTTTCTTTTTAAAAGTATATAAATTTATTTACAAACAATTATTTAAAAAAGAAACAATTTAAATAGTGTTAAAGTTTAAAACTTAATTGGGTTTTGTTAAAAATAACCAACACTTGTATAATCAAACTGAGTTCTAAAATCCAATTAACACTATTTGCTTTTGTAACAAACCAAAGAATGACTTAACTCTAAACTGTTCGTAATCTAATACCCCAATAATTTTCTTTAGTTAATAACTTGGATCAAGCTGTACTAACAGGTTGTTTTACATTTTTACAACCACCAAAAGCGAAAAACTAACTCTTTAAACTCTTATAGGAGAAGAATCTGATTCTGTTGGAAATGCGCGGTCTGGAAAAACCCTCACAACACCCCCGGCCAAGGAAAAGAAAAAGGCCTTTTTCAAAAAGCAAGAGGCCACGGCACCGTACGATGTGGTGCCTTCAATGCGGCCTGTAGTGCTGGTTGGGCCTTCGCTGAAAGGTTACGAGGTCACTGACATGATGCAGAAGGCCTTATTTGATTTTCTTAAGCATAGATTCGAAGGAAGGTGAGTCTAGAGAATGTACAGAACGTACAGAAGTGTTACATCATATTATTTTAGGATAATAATAACTAGAGTAATGGCTGATATATCGTTGGCGAAACGTTCGCTGCTGAATAACCCATCGAAAAGGGCGATAATCGACCAAAGGCGTTCGACGTGTCTTCTCGAGGTCCAAACCGAAATTGAGCGCATTTTCGAGCTCGCCACCACGTTGCAACTCGTCGTGCTGGACTGTGATACGATAAACCATCCATCGCAGCTGGCCAAAACTTCCCTTGCACCATGTATCGTTTACTTAAAAATAGCTAGTCCTAAGGTAAATACCACCAATTCTTCGTCAATAACTTATTGACAATAAGTGATGATTTTAACCCAAAATGCTCGTTTATGCGGGTATAAAAATTATCCTCAAAACCAATCAATTTTCCTGGTGTTGGAACAACATTGAGTTTTTTATTTTAGGTATTACAAAGGTTAATAAAATCGAGAGGCAAAAGTCAAGCCAGACATCTGAACGTGCAGATGGTGGCTTCGGAGAAGTTAGCTCAATGTCCTCCAGAAATGTTCGATGTGATATTGGATGAAAATCAGCTTGAAGAAGCCTGTGAACACATAGCCGAATACTTAGAAGTAAGACATTTAACTAAAAGTGCATCAATCAGTAAGATTTTTTATTATGTTTTTTTTCACCTGTTAATGTTAAAAGTATCTATAAAAGGATATCAAAGAAACATTTCTAAATCATCTTGAATTTCTCAATAGAAGCAAAAATTCGAAATTCCATGATTTGGACATATTTAAAATGGTATAAAACTTGTAATATTGGGATTTTTTAAATAAAATTTTAAATTTGTTTATAAATTATAGTAGATTATTTCCCTCATTATAATATGAACCAATCAAAAGCCTTGAATTTTCAAATAAATTTCGTTTAAATAAGCGATTAAATCACTAGAACTATTTAACAGCGATTAAATTTTAGCCTCCATATTGGATTTTTGTTTACGATTTTATGGTGATATTTACAAGTTTTAACAAACATTTTTTAAAAAACAATAAAAAATAAGTTAGGTATCTAGTTTACGAAATATCAATTATTACTTATTACATACCTTAAATTAATGGAATTCAAATAGGGGGGCCTCGAGGCGGGTGAGGCGACAGGAAAAACTAACTTGTTTATTTAATGTCATTATAAACTATTATAATCCTATCTCTAATAATTGATATTTTGGTATACATAAAATCCACCATCCGCCACCGCTCCATTTATCTTCAACAATTAACAATGTATCTTCTTTTAGGCTTATTATAGAGCTACTCATCCAGAGCAAGCCATGTCTAATATCCCACGACCAATAGGAACTCCCCAAGCTTCACCCAGTGGGGATACAGGGAGACCCACATTACCAGGTAAGACAAATGACTATTCATACATTCTGTTTCTTAAAAAAAATAGTAAAAACAACATAATGTTAAAAGCAAATTTTATCATTTATCATATCAGAACAGAGATCACTATAAAAACTAACTACTAACGTTTAAATCGCCCCCCCCCCGGTTAAAAAAACACCCTACTAACACTACTAATATTTTTCCAGCCCACCATGATGTTTATGGCGGATATGTTGGGGGTCACGAGACAAGAGGTAGTCATGCAGGTGTTAGATATATAGGATTGCAAAGTTGGGATTCTGTAGATTCATTAGAATCACTATCTTTCTTATAACTTTATTATTATTATTATTGATATATTGTTTAAATTCGATTATTCACTGCATGAGTGTCTTGAATTGTGCATCAATATTTTATTATTTTTACAGTACGAGTATATGCCTTAGCTTTAGTATCTTTAATAGTTATATAGCACCGTCACGATTACCAACTTCGATAAATATGATGTTTTAAAGGGAGTCTTAACAATAATTATTGAAGAATAGTTTTTAAATGAAATCATTGTTTTTAGATGCCTCTAAAAACAATGATGAAATGAAATTATTATTAGACACCCCTTTAAAGGATCGTCCAATAGGTGTCCTAGCCTGGGATGATCCTTATGACGTAAGCAAATAAAGTGACTGGCTATCTTGCATTTTGGTGACGATAAAGAGTTTTTGTCCGGAAAAATTAATGTTTTTAAAAGATCATTCCTAAGTCAATTCGTTTTTAAAAGCATTAACTTTTCTCCACTTATATGTCATAATAATCTAACTAAAAATATAGTTACGCTCCAACAAATAAGTGTAAAACGTGGGTCCAAACGTAATGTTATTTTGAATAAACTTATTTAAATTAACTTAATTTATTTATACCTCTTCATTTGAAATGTTTTCAGATTTTTCCGGTTCAATGACACCTATTCCGACTAACTATTAATTTGTCTCTATACGTATAAAATGCAGGTTATTATAAGCACGGTTTTAATTTTCATTTTTGTTTTCTTCTTCTTTCAAATGCTTCGCTACACTTCATAACAATGCAACGCTTTGCTATAAACGCACATATAACAAACAAACATAAGTTGAAGTAGCACCACAACCTGGCAAAATTTGGAGGGCAGGTTCCACCGACCTCTTTGCTTAGCTTTTCTGTCAAACACAAAAATATTTGTAAGTTTACGTGATTTATTGTAGACTAAAACTAAAATAGGTACGTTTTTTGCATGTGTGAAGGTGATTAGTTCATTAGTTAATACAAGGTTAATTTCAGGTGAACAGGACTTTTTCAAAACAGTACTTTCTAGTGATTTAAAAGGGGAGTTTATTGATGATCTGTAAAAGTTTCATGAGATTCGGATCATTAGTAATACATTTTCATGAGTTTCAATAAAGATTTAGGATGTTTTGATTTTCCTATTTAAACCGAATTCACAACCATAAGGCCAAGCAAAAACTTGATATAATGATCAGAATGTCATGTTCAAATTTTCAATTTGGTTGGTTTCGCACCAATTGACTGATAATCAAAATTTTCTCAGAATTCAGCATTTGAAACACATTTTTTTAAATAAAATAGTATCGTGTGACTTTAACCTTTTCAAAAAAATGCATTTGCCGATAAATGGAAAGTATTTTGGAGCCATCCAAAAGGTTTGCATCGACATCCTCGGAGCTATCTCTTTGGACAACCTAAAAAACTCATTCAAAATGCTTTTTGACCGTTCAAAATGTATCCCAATCTTGAATAAAATAGAAGAGTTTTGCCAAAATATTAAGTCTTGGTTCCTATTTTGAAAAAGTCATGTTTAGTTTGGAATGCACCTTGTAAAATAAACGAAAGTTTGTTTGAAATTTTGTGTTTTGTTATTTAAAGGTAATTAACAAATTTGGTTATTTAGTTATAGATACAGAATGTTGTCATACATTTTTGTAATAAACTGCGCACCAGTCAATGTGTCGCGACCAAAAATTTCGTCCTTTTTCAAAACGACATAACTTTTTTGTTTCTTGAACGATTTTATTTTGGTTTGTAATGTCTGCTAGCCCCATTCTCTGGAAATACATGCTATAGATATGAAGCTCACGGTTATTCAAGTAAATTTCCTACAGGGTGATATGTAAAACGGTAAAAAATTTCAAAAACTTCATCCAAGCCCCGTTTGTAAAATAAATATTTTTTTCTCGTTTTTACTTTGAAATAATGAAGTATTATGTCTTACCTTGAAAGGCTTTTCAAATTTTTGGAATTGGAATCTTGGCAACAAAAATATGATTTTTTTTTCAAAAGAGTACATTTGATGCTTTTTTGTAGGCAATACACTGAGCCTTTTTAAGATAAAAAAGATAAGATGGTGAAAGATTGTTCCTTGAATAATTCTGAACAAGCGACAAGCAACAAACTTCCATTAATTTCAGAGGAACCTAAGCAAAGACCACTTTTTCAAAATGACATTTTTTAGAAAATTTGCGAAAACTAAACCTGAACCGATATTTACGTTCGTGACATGTTTGCTTTATAATTTTGACCTCCTGATGTAATTCAGTTGTCAAATTTAAGTTTTAGATGAAACCAAAATCGCCAAGAATCAAAATTTGAAAACATTTCCCGGCTGTTAAATGTCTCAATAACATGCCTTTGCCAATGAAATTTGGGGATTCATTTTTGTTTGAGTGGTTAGGATAATGTTACATAAATTACATTTATATTGCGCACTAGTGATAACTTAGTACTGATAAGTACCTACCTAATTGGTAATAAAGTTAAAAATACAAAATTTGTTTGTTTATTTTTGAAAATTTTATGCGAAGATATAATCATAATAAAAACTACAACATTCAACAGAAAAATGTAACAAACAATAACAATAATAACTTTCAATATTTCGTTGGCCCTCCCCTAACCCGTAATAATTCGTTAACCCTCCTGAGCATTCCCTAGGCCAAGTTCCTTAGAAATTCTTCCTAAATCGACTTTACCAATTCATCCAAATTTTCCATGCGTCATTTCCTCTCTTTCATCTTCAGTTTCATCCTGCTCCACACATCCTCAATAGGATTCATATCCGGAGACAAAGGTGGCCAATTCATTCTCTCTATATCACGGTCCCTTAAATACTCATTTACGATATAAGCGCGATGCGGACGGGCATTGTCGTCCACCAACACCAAATTATTGGCATTTAATTTTCATCATTTGATTCCTGATTTGGTCATTCACTGACATGATAATAACGTACTAAAAATGCAAAACACAGTAAAAAAACAGTAAAATCCAGCAATCAGATTTTATTGAGAAATTTAACATCCAGGAATTGTTTTCGAATTTTGATTCTTCGTGATTTTGGTTTTATCTGAAACCTAAATTTGACAACCGAATCACAATCAGGTCAAAATTATGAAGAAAACATGTCACGAACGTAAATATCGGTTCAGGTTTAGTTTTTGAAAATTTTCACTAAAATGTAATTTTGAAAAAGTGGTCTTTGCTTAGGTTCCTCTAAAAATAATGGAAGTTTGTTGCTTGTCACTTGTTCAGAATTATTAAAGGAACAATCTTTCACCATCTTATCTTTTTGTTTTTAAAAATGCCGAGTGTATTGCCTACAAAAAAGCATCAAATGTACTCCATTGAAAAAAAAATCATATTTTTGTTGCTAAGATTCCAATTCGAAAAATTTGAAAAACGTTTCAAGGTAAGACATAATACTTCATTATTTCAAAGTAAAAACGAGAAAAAAATATTTATTTTACAAACGGGGCTTGGATGAAGTTATTGAAATTTTTCACTGTTTTACATATCACCCTGTAGTAAATTTACTTGAAGAACCGTGAGCTTCATATCTATAGCATGAATTGCCAGTAAATGGGGCTAGCAGACATCACAAACCAAAATAAAATCGTTCAAGAAACAAAAAAGTTATGTCGTTTTGAAAAAGGACGTGATTTTTTGTCGCGACACATTGAGTGGTGCGCAGTTTAGATGACAAAATTAATACAAAGGTTCTTCAAGATTTAACATTGCAGCAGTCAAGTCAAAATGTCGATAGCTTAAACTAAGAAGATTATATTTAGGAGCTTCGGCTTAGGAGCTTCAACTTCATATAAATTCAAGGAGGGGGGTCCATAAGAACGTCGCACGTATACTATGACAGATAACGCAAAATTGAGTTCTGCGCATCTCCCCTCCTATTCTTTGCAGAGATAAAGAAGGTATTTTTTTAATCTCTATTATTTTGTGCATCTGTCAGGCATCAAACTAATGTTAACCTTAACTAATGTCGTAAATAAGAAGATTATAATTCAATTATATTATAATATTTTATATTATAATAAAATCTTCTCATACTGCTACTATAGTAGTAAACAGAACAGTTTGTAATGATGTTAATTTGAACGTTCATACAGTGATGTAATTTAAGACTTAATTTAATAGTTGGCCAACTTTTATCTTTTAAATTAAATTACGTTATTTCAAGGTTATTTCGTACTAACCTAACCTATTTTCGGAGAATCTAACCTATTTTGTGAGAAAAATATTTTGATTGTAATTACCAAAGTAACCCATATATCTAATCCTTTAAGTTTTAGATACATGAAGTGACTCTCTTTAAAGTATTGTTTTTAATTTCAAACACTATTAAATTACGTTACTTTTTGTATGAACGAAAGTAAATTAAATTAAATTACTTTTAAAGTTAAATTAAATTATATTACGTTATTTCTCTGTTATAACTTCAAATAACTGATTTGCAGGTTTTTCATCCCTTGACAAATTAAAACAATTTTTAACACAGCACAAACATCCCATAGTGATTTTCTCAAATAATAATTTTGAAATTAAAATAAAGCCAAAAGTGCTTGCCTTCTTTATCTCTCCTGTCAATCTTCCAATCAATGCGTGTACATGCAGTCAGTCACTAGAGTTGATGGTCTATGCGCGGTTGATTATTAACACTGTAGGGAGGTTAAACATCACAGCTAAACGCTCGGACACGTAAATTTAATTTTTGGTCGTAGAATACTCTCTGCCGGATGTATCTGGGTACAGATACCGATACATTTTCCCAAAAGTATCTGGGTACAGATACAGATACATTCAAAAAGTATCTAAGTTACTTCCAGATACTTTCTGTTACTTAAAAACTTAAAAATTAAATGACAAAGAAAAAAATTGTTTGGACCTTATAACGCAATATATATTTATAAACCAAGTTCATCTACTGGATGTCCAATGGATATCCAGGATATCCTATGTATATTCTGGATATTTATAGAGTATATGCATTGGATGTTCCGTGTGGGGATGCAATCGGGTTGGGTAAAATAAAATGTATCTTGTATCTAAGGATCTAGATACTTTCAAAAGGATCTAGATATTAAAGTAGATCCTGATTTTTTTAAGTATCTCTATACGTATCTAGGTACATAAAATGTATCTAGATTCAGTATCCAGATTAGACTGGGCCAAAAAAATCGACTATTTTTTTTTGGAAAGTATATCGAAAATATTGTTTGGGGCGACAAAAAAAATTATGGTAAAAGTTTGAGTCAATAATATTAATATTAAGAGGTCTATCATCGCAATTTTAGATTTTTTTTTCCTGAGCGAGTTTTTGTCTCAGACCTCCCAAATCATTGAGTTTAACAAAATTGACTTAATAATATTTTTGAAGAAAATTAAATGCTCTACATTAAGGTTTGATGGGAATTTCCCGTCAGATGAACCCTTTTCTTACAATCATGCCTTAAAAATTGGTATAGTTTTACAATTTGATCTTTTAACTTTGGAATTTTGTAATTCAAGTAAAAAATCAGTACCCTGAAAAAAAAATGATAAATATTCTTATGGGAAATCAAATGCTCTACAAAAAAGTCTTTTATCATTTTTGGCTAAATTCTCTCCATCAAAAGTTATTCAAGGTTAAATTTGAAGTCAAAACGAAATTTTAACCTTGAATAACTTTTGATTGAGTGAATTTAGCCAAAAATGTTAAGAGGCTTTTTTTGTAAAGCATTTGATTTCCCATAAGGTTTTTTATGGGTATTTTTTTGGATTTTTACATGAATTACAAAATTCCAATTTAAAATATCAAAATGTAAAACAATACCAATTTTTAAGGCATGATTTTAAGGAAACGGTTCATCTGACGGAAAATTTCACTTTAACCTTTTTGTAGAGCATTTAATTTTCTTAAAAAATATTTTTAAGTCAATTTTGTTAAACTCAATGGTTTGGGAGTTCCGAGCCTAAAACTTGCTGAGAAAAAATTAATATTTTATTATTAATATTATGGACTCAAAACTTTCACAATAATTTTTTTTTGTCACCCCAAACCATATTTTCGATATACTTTTAAAAAAAAAAATAGTTGATTTTTTGGCCCAGTCTAATCCAGATACATGTATGTCGATACATTACATCACTGAGTTTAGCTGTATCAGGTCAAATTTTCAAAGATTTTCAATTTTGGGGCATCCCATTAGGAAACACCATGTATAAATTTAAAATAAATCAATTGGGCTGGACCCCCACTGTGGGGTCCCACATCAGTTCCAAATTAAAAAAAAAACAAATTCTTGCAAAATTTGAGGTTAATTGATCAAAAGGAACACGTGTCCCTGAGGTTTTTTTTTAGATAATTTAGGAAATTCAAAATATTTTTTGCACGCTGCCAAGCGACGCGTTTTCTCATGCGGAGTTGAAGCTGCTGAATATAATCTTCTTAGCTTAAACTATAATTTTCCACTTATCTAGTTTTTTCAGAAATTTTAAAAACAATGGTTTTATTTAGAAAAACTTTAAATATTCTGGAATTATTAAATGTTTTAGATCTGAAAACCTTGTATGAAATATTGCAAACTATTAATAACGTTGTTGCTAACTTTGTGACATTTCTGTCTCAGTTCCCACCTTCCACACGAGCCACACGCGCAGCAGGCCGCGCCTGGAGCGCGACCGCGAGTACGAAGACTACGTCGATCGTGAGTACCTCACGAACACGCACGGGGTCCCCCCGCACATGCAGGGCGGCGACGACTACCGCCTCAGAGACCCGCGGCGGGAGGAGGAGTACCCCTCTCACCGAGGCTCGTCGCGCAGAGCCCTCAACGCCATATAGTGGAGGCTGTCTACGGAGCAACCGATTGAAGAGGAGATTCATGATGATCTGTCGCCGCGCGCCGAGTCCTACTACAAGCCCCAGATACCCAAAGAGTACAGGGACGATGGGAGAGGTAGAAGGGACAGGAGGTATCAGGACGATGCCAGGTACGATGATCGCGCGTCGGCGGACAGAAGCAAGCAAGAAGGCAGAAATTACAGGAAAGCCCTGTTGGATAGGTTCGCCGATATGGATATGGATGAGCATCATGAGTATCCGTCCCACCAAAGGTACTATGAATGAATCGGAGCAAGCAAGGTAGCTCAGTCACTCGGTAAATTAACACTGGAGCTTTATTTTTCATTTGCGATATCTGCTTTCCAAACACAATATTGGAAATCCTTCATCACGTCAGTATACACGGTTTTGGACCTGAGCAACCAAAAGTTGTTTTTTAGGTAACTTGGGGCACTGAATCCAAATCTTCACTCCGTTTCTTAAAATTGGTTCTAGTCTTCGAGATAGTAAGTATATAAATTAAATTTGTACGATATTTGGCAATTATATTTATTTAATGGAAATTAAAAGTAATAAATTAGAAATGAAGAGCGGTGAAACTAAGTCTTTTATATTGTTTTGGATCCGTTTCACGCATTAGAGTCCAACAGTACTCGCTCATCATGCGTTCATCCCAAAATTTTAGGTATCTCCTTTCAATGTTTGCGAGATCTTGGTGTAGCCGCTCTCCCTGTTCGTCGGTTATACACTGTTCAAAATTTCATGACCATTTTAACACCAAATTAACACCATACGTGGTCTATATCGATACAAACCAAAATGGTGTTAAATAAGGTTCGTTGGTTCGGTGTAAATTCAAATACTAAAATGGTGTTAATTTAACTTTCACACAGTATTAAAATAAATTTTACCTGGTGTAAATTGAACTCCTTTTCAGTGTTAAATATGATGTGTTTGTGGTCAAATTAAATCATTCTTCACAGAAAAAAGGAAAAAAAGGAAACAGGAAGTTCCTTGACGCATTACTAGTATATTACCAGAAAATGGAACCTTCAACTCGCTAGAGTTTTTAGTGCGTTCCACTAACTTAAAATACTTCAAGTATTGACAGCTGTTTCCACCTATTTAAGGTCTCTTTAGTATCGAACAAATTGTAGTGTCACACCAAAGCAAAGGACAACCTGAGTTTATATATTCTTTATGTAAGTCAACAGAGGCGAGATTTAAGAACATAACGTGATCCACACCGCCTTTGCCGCGATCGATACACATTTTCAACCATAATTCATGGTGTTATATTAACACCACTTGGTGTTGGATTTTGACACCATTTTAAGATTACTTTTTACACCACAGATATTTTAAACAGTGTATCGCCCAAGTTTTCAGGGAAAAAATCGAGTTGGGAATGGAGGAAATGCATCTTGAGAGACATCCGTGATCCAATCTTGCGGTAATTTTGCAACAAATTGCTTGAAATCCGGGGATTTGCGGTTACCAAGAAAGTTGTGAACAACACTTCGAAAAGAGGTGCATGGTATAGTTTCCGTCGGTCATTAATTTTCTAATATCTAATAACTTGATAAGTACTGAAGAGCCTACCCTTCACCTGCGAGAACTGAAAAACTAGAACCAATGTTGCCAAGCGGATTTAAGATTCGAATTCAGCGCATCAAATAACGTCAAAATCGTTGTAATCTGCTCGGGTCCAAAAGTTGGCCGGAATTTGTTAACTTGTGTTATTAAAGAGTTCTTAAATAGCATAGGTCGTAATCATTTTGGATCTTAAAAATGAAGAAATAAAGCTGTCTATTTTTTGGAAAATTACTTTTACGGATTCCTGAAAGTGACTGAGCTCATTTAACACAATTGGCCTAAAAAACACACAATTAATTGACATACAAACATTTTTAATTTTTCTCTTTATGTATATATTATGGGGGACAGTTAAATATTATGGTTTGTATGTACAAAAACAAATCTACTAAATAATAATACATATTAATAATAATAATGATAATGAGAAGAAGAAGGCTATCCGAAGTTTTAAAGTATCTTTTGTGGTTCTTCAATGGGAGTTCCGTAACCCTTGTGATTTATTGTAATTATAACAAATAAACATTTAAAAATTTTGACCATTTTGGTGCCATACTTGAGTAATAGCTCAATTTTTAAACTAAATTGAAAAAACTAGAAATAGTATTAAAGCTTTAAAACTGTAGCTATACTTAGGATTTTTAAATTCATTTATATTGAAGGGTATGTTGTTGAGAACAGTATAAATTTATGTATTTTATATATTGTATAATAGCTTTTAAAAGAACTGAGATATTACACTTTAATGGATTGCGAACTCTTTAAAACGGTGAGGTTTTCTTTCAAAACGCAAATTCAATTCCAAGGCAATCTCAATTCTTTTTGAAATTGCTTTCGAACGGTCTTTAATTTTTTCCTACGTGATACTAAAATTTTGTCAAACGTTTGACTGAATCTAGGGAATAAAAGAACGTGCAGAGCATCTAGTAATAAAAAATCGTAGATGCATGTTGAGGCAAATAAAAGGCTTAAGTTAAAGTTAATAAACAGGTCCCTAAACTATATTTTTGAATAAATCATTCTTAGAACTGTCTGTTTCTTATTGGCTACGTATTGTATAAGATTAAGACAATCAAGCTAGAAAACGTTAGAGAGTTAGTTTGAGAGTTAGAATAGCTAAAAGTTGAATACAAATTTTGACCCGTGAAATACAACGAATCACTTTGCAGACTTTAAATCAAAAATACCCTGTGTTCTTTTGGTTGTTTGAAAAAAAAAACATCATCTGTACAAATATTCCTTAATAAACCCTATTAAAAGTACGTGGTTAATAAGAACAGTCGTTTTACAATAATAGCCTTAATAAATTTGTAATTTTTGAATGTATGTGTCACACCATTCGGTGACATCACGACCAATTACATAACACAAATATATTGTGTAGTGGTAGAGGTTTTTTTGATTCGGTAAGTTCATTGTTGCTGTCAACAGCAATATTTCTTTCAATTTTTTTTTGATAAAATGGCACCCAAGGGAATGAAATTTATCGTTTTATGTTGTTTGTTAGATTTTTAGCAAAAATTCTGTACTTTGAAACTCGACATACCCCTTAACTATGTCCATTGGGGTATATATCTCCATGCCTGTGATATGTTATAAAAACAATATTTATTTTTAATGCAAATAATTAAGCAACAATGAAAATACTATTATATGCACCGTCTATAACACGGTAAAGTTGAACATTACTATGTTATAGATTCATTTTGCTAGGTCATTTATTAGTGCCATGTGGGCCAACCCACAAACCTCAAAAGATGAAGCAGAATTGGGGAGTTTTGAATAAAAAAACCCTTAAACGTCCTTTTCTATTTTAGTTTCTTGTTAAAAACTCATCCGTTGCTGCTACTATTGGCTAATTTTGCTGTGGGTTGGTCCTATCCACGGTCTTATATAGATACAGGTCTTGCAGCTCTGGGTTTGAGGTGGCGAGCCGCTAGGGGCGCTGCGGGACGATAGAGCACGATCAAATGAACTACTCACGTATGTTTTATTTTTTTATAACAGTTCTATTGTCAAATTGGAAACTCACTTTTTAATCTTATCTACTGATTGACAGTCTCATTCCAAACACATTAATGCATATATGCGTGGTTACGATGTAAAAATCTAGGTTATGTGTTTCACGTGGCATCCGAATTTTCTAAGCCTCATCATTTTTTTTTTGGATTTTTTTTATTCCTTATAAAATTACAAAAAATTAAAAATATTACCTAGAATAAAACATAATTTTTATGTAAAAATATGACTAAAAGTGAGGAAGAACAAAAATTTTAGTTTTAAGTTTTTAAAAAAAATCTTACGTCTTATCATTTGAAAGATATTCTTATTTTCGCTTATATAGGGTGAGACGGGATCTAAAATCATTGAAAGTTTGCATACGTTTCTCAAAATCAAAATTTTTATCCAAATCAGTCTCGTTTTTTCTTTTACTTGTTTTACTTCCAAAAAACAATGATAAGGTTTAGATTCAACGTGAAATACCCAATATGTAGTAGTTCCATTTAAATATGCGAGTACTTCATTTCACCGCATAAAAATAGTGTTAGTTCTGTGTTTTACCGTGCTCTCTTGTCTGGAGAGACGAAATTGCAAGACCGTGGCCGTGGCCCTATCCATTGAATTTTCATTTATTATTTAATAACCTAGAATTACGAGTACCTATAAAAAGATTTCATATGCTGTTAATATTGTATGAGTCTATTGAAATACTTCAAATATAAGTAAGTTTAAAACAACTTTGATACCTTGTACATAGCTATTAAATATTAAAAAATCTATACTTCATACAAAATAAATGTTTTTTTTTTTGATTTTTAGTTATAAGCTAGTTAGTACTTTATTACAGGTATAAATGAGATTGTTAAATATTTTTTTGTAATTATTATGTTTGTCTAAAACCGCCTTGCTATAATTTTTATATTATTATTCATTAAAAACCGAAAAAATGAATGTATGGATATGGAGAGGCACTTTTACGTGCATTTTTCTAAATAAAAATAAATCAATAAGTTGTTTTATTATTTTTACCTCACCCTCTCGAAAAAAATAATAGACCATCATTAAAATTATTTATTTACATTTATACATATTAATAATAAGGAATGTACACAGAGTATTTTATATCTACATACCTTTGAGCCATACATATACGGGTTTTAATTAAAATTGTAGTACGATACGTACAAATATACATTAGGCTTGAACCTAATAATCTTATTTAGTCTAAGTACATACAAAGAAGACATCGTTCACACTTACACTTCAATCTTATTGTCTTTTAAATCTTCAGCGCTGCTTTTGCTCTCCTTCTCCTCTTCTTCATCTATAATACTTATATCCCTAATCGATGGTCTATGACTTCGCCTCCACCCTTCTTGCACCACAGGGAATTTAGCTTTGTTGAGCAATCGCGGTCCGAGAATTGTCACCAACATGGCCCCCGTTGGCGCAGTAACCATAATGGAAAGAACGCAAATCATAAGGATTTTCTCCGAGTAGGCGTGCTCGTCTGTACCGTGTTCCACCATTCCTAGACAGATTGGGCCCAAGGCAGCCTGCAAAAAGTGAGTGTAAAATAGTTAATAAGAAAAACATTATCTGGACAAGCTTTTTGCTCACCTGGACAGTTGCTTTACAGGCCCAAGCAATGGCGACGAATATCTTCTCTTTCAGGTTTAAGTTACAACCTATTCCAGCAAGAATTGTAACCACGATTCGTACAAACAAACCCAAAAATAGAACCCCCAGACCTATTAAAACAACATTCCCGTCTAGCTCGTTCAACTTGACTTGAGAACCTGTTATTCCAAAGAGGATAGGTTCCATGATCATCCAGAATATTTCAAAGGCTGTTGTAGCGGGATTATCTTCGGTTTCCCAGCCCAAAGTAGACCAGCAGTAAATTGAAATAAAGGCTGCGGTTACGCAGCAAAGTGGGCCGGCCCCTCCATAACCCAAAAGTTCGCTGCCAAATATAGAAACCATACCACCCATTAGTAGTAATAGTACTCTTAGAGGTATTACAAATGGATCGTGCTTCTCAGGCATATATTTACACAGTAAACCCCAACAAAGCCCCAAACCAACACCTCCAACAATTGATACAGGTCCTTGCAATACCAAACTCGCTATAGAGCTGGTGGAAAAAATAACAGTCTTAACTATACCGAATATAGCAACCGATGTAGCATCATCTATACTAGCAACTGCCATAATTAACGTAGGTAACCCTTTGGCGACACCATAACCTTTAGCTCTTAACCTCACCAAGCATGAGACCAATACTGCAGGCGATACAGCTGCTATAATGCTTCCAAGAGCAAATGCATACTGCCAAGGTAAATCGATGAGGTAATGTGACGATACAGTTATCATAGCAGCTTCAGCTATCCACGGTGCAAGGCCAAGCTTAATTACAGTAAATTTTAAGCGCTTCATTGCTATAGGGTCCAAGTCGAGACCAGCTCGGATGAGGAGGATCACCAAGGCAGTTGTTCTAAAAATAAAACAAGATATTTAGAGAGTTTTTTAGGTGGACTGTACTACCTCAATTCCTTCGTGATCTCAGTAAACGATTCATCAATATTCACAATATTAACATTCTGCAGCAAAAGTCCGGTGAACAACATCCCTATTAAAGCCGGCAAGGTTGTTAAACTAACAATCCATCCGCCAAAATAGGAGAGCAAACTCAACAAGATGATTTGAAACAGCTTTCCGTTCGGAGCGGCCGCGGGTTCACCGACGATTGCATACAAAATACACCACGCGAAAATTCCTATAAGGGCTAGGGCTATGATCCTCGAGAATTGTCTGTAGGTGGGGCAAAACGGGTATGGGCACGCTTTGCCCCATAATGGGGGCGCCCACGACGGGTGCGATTCTTTGGCCCTGCATTTCACGCAGAAGGAGTACCACCAGGACCTAAAAATGTGATAAAGTAGGTTCAAAGTACCAGAATATTAAAAATTGTTGTGGATGATTTCAAAATAGCTTCTTTATTTAATATTATTTTTTTTTTGACAAAATACTCAAGTAGCAGTTTTAGAGAATGAAACGTATTGGCCACTTATACTTGAAACTGTCAAATGTATTGCCAAAATCTCTGCCACGTGGTAGAAACTGTTTTATTAAGTGGAAGTGACTATAATGCTGCCGTGCTTAATGAAAACGCCGTAACCAACAATTTTGAGATTTTTGTTTTACGCCATTTTCTACTAGAACAATTTATCCTGCGTCTATCCCCGGTACTCAAAAACCGTATCTATATATATATACGGTTTTTTGAGTACCGGGGATAGACGCAGGATGAATTGTTCTAGTAGAAAATGCCAGTGTCAGTTAGGTTTCAACAAAGTTTCAACAACGTTCTTGAACCACGTTTATACCACGTTGTGATTTCGTTACTATAACGTGGAGATATCACTATATCTCCACGTTATTTACTTTCTATCCTCGTTTCTTTCCAGCATATTATTTATCTTACTGTTGCTTTCTTTGAACATTAAACTGACACTGAATACTACAATTATAATAATGTTAGAATACAACTTGCAAATAATAAATATAGAATTAAAATAATCCAAAGAAATAAAATTTACACAAATTAAATTTTATTATCAAACATGGGTGTCATAGCTCGAAATATAAGCATGCCTCCTTGAAATATGTGATAATTTAAAAGAATATAAAAATCTGTAAAATTAACAGCTCCAAAAATTATTTATCTAGAAGCCTCAAATAATTTCTTTATTATTATTGGTCACCTGAAACCAATAATTATGTACTAACCAGAATTATTTGTTTAAAACTACAATGGCGATCATTTGTAAACATGTCTGCTTTTGAAGAAGTGAACTTTAGAGTATACGAAACGGGGAAATCACTTAAACATGTAGCAAGAACGTTGCAATAACCACCGCAATTATATAATCAAGTTTTCACTTATTATGCACATGTGCCAGCTCTTCTTCCAATACTCGAAACACTTCTAAAACTCGATCTTTGGGATAACCTTTAGTTCTTTCAGCGATACGCTTTTAATGTCATTTATGCTTGCAAAACGACGGCCCTTTAAGGTTCTCTTTTTTTTAGGGAATAGGAAAAAATCAGACAGAGGCATGTCTGGGGAATATGGAGGCTGGGGCATCATTACAGTATTGTTTTTGGCCAAAAATTTTGATCAAAATTTACCAATTTTGAAACAAATTTTGCTGCCACGCGTTTCATACCCAAATCATTCGAAAAAATTTCATGGGATGAGCCAATCGATATACCAACATCATCATCTGATGGTTGTTAATGTGCTTGTGCGTTCGGGGCGTTCGTCATCTTCAACGTCTTCACGGCCATCTTGGAAACTCTTGTACCACTTGTAAATTCTTGTTTTACTTATAGCAGAATCACTATAGGCCTTTGTTAACATTTCACATAATTTATTTCATTTTTTAAAGCAAAATTGGATACAAATCCATTTCTTTTAACGAACGAAAATCGCCGAGCTCATAAAACACGTCTAACCTTAGCGGCTGCCACAGACAAAGTAAACAAAGAAAACAGCTAAAATTTTTATCATACTTTGGGGGCATGTATACCGGACCCTCCGAACCCGCAAAAATGAACAATTCCCGTTTCTGAACACACCTCGTATGTTCTGCTGGTGCAAATTACATGATTTCAACTATGCTAAAATAAAATGAAGATATTACAAATGTATTGTGGTAGATTTAGTCATTTTAACGTAATTGCCACTTGTTTAAAGTTGAGATATCAGTGTTCGTGATTATAATTCTACTTGGGAATAGACTTACCAGTCATCGTCATCATCATCGATGTCAGAAAATCTTGTTTTCGAGTGTAAGGAATCGCTGACCGAGTGTTTTTTGATCCTGGCGTCCCCATTTGCGTGTTTGCCGCTGTCTGAAAAAACGTCCAAGCTGTTAATGATATAATTTTTCTCATTTTTCAACTTGTAATCGGTTTTTTCTGGTCGTAACATCACAAAACGGCACAAATTGGTTAGGAATTTTAGCTAAATTGTTGTTAATCATGCTGTGTTTGTTTATTGAATGAAGTTTTTTTTAAGACTTACGTACTTTTTATCGGTAATAAAAATTCGTTAGTAAATATTATGAATTACTTTTAATTGAACAAATTTGTTTTGGTTAAAATGATATGAAAAATTAAATACTTTAGGTCTTTAAACTTTGTATGATAAGGATGATATATTTTGTTTTAAAATAATTAACAATTAACAAATTGTTTACCTTTAATTGGCAGAAAAAGGCGCAAATTCCCGAGTTGAACTTTATTGAAATAAAAAAGAATTAATTAATAAATTTGATCAAATTTTTAAAAAATAAATTATATTTTATTTGTGGTAATATTTAAAACACTTGATCAATAAAAAATATCATTTAAAATTAAAAAACGGAATGATGGGTAAAATTATAACTTAAAATGAAATAAAAATTACATTATTAAAAATAGCATAAACCAAGTAAATAATAGTAAGAAAAATAACAAAAATCATTACATTACACTTAATAAAAATAAAGAATAAAACTAATCTAAATTTACAAATCTAATGATTTAAACAAATATTTTATCTTTTTACATAATATAATAATAATAGAAGTTATTCATTATTGTATTTGTACAATTATAACTTTATTTTCCTTGTACATTTGTTTTACCCTATTTCATTCATATTATCCCCGCCTATGCCTTCGTAGAAAGTATGTAATTGACAGACTGACATTGTCAGACTGTCAAAATTAAAGTAATGTTTTTTAGTTTTTGTTAGAAGATAAAATAGTATAATATATTATGTTATACGGATGAAAAGGCCGTTTTGTGCTTCACTCAATTGCTTTGCCTCTGCTGCAAACTTTTGAGCTTAGCACAATAAGTTACCTAATGACATAATGTACAATATTGTATGTTAACTCTTTATTACGATGCCAAATTTTTTATTTTTATTTTAATTTGATCGTATACAGAGTACACAATTTCTGCCCACACAGAACACGCTATCCAATGGATATCCAATGGCTATCCCAATGCGAACACAGAAGATAAATGTCACCATATTACCTTGCCGCTGCATCTCGCCGCTGTCCAGGTCGCCCAACTAGTATATAGGTGGGCGGTTGCTTGGCTTGAAGCGTGTCTCTCGGCACCAACTGCCTGACACTGATGAGACCCAACAGGTCGAAACAGTCTGTCTGTCAGTGTTGGTGGGCATGGTACATTAGTCATTGTGCCATGTTAAACAAATGGGCTGATGGATTGGCCAAATTTTGGGGATCATAAGGAGACAGGTGAAATAGGCCCTAAATGATTAGGCTGATAAAAAGGCAAATGACAGCTGGAGGAGTGATGGCAAGCACTTCTTTAGTTATATGTAGTTTTCTGTTCTATTTTATGTTTTCATAAAAATAAATATTTAAATTAAAATAAGACTTTTATTTTAAAACCCAATGTTATTTATTGAAAAGTAAATATCCATTGATTCACCATATCCAATACAGATGACAACCATATTGCATACAATACTATATCCACTGGGTATCCATTGGATATCCACACTATGTCCAGGAGGGTCGGACATTTATATATCCATTGGTTATCCATTGGATATCCATACAATCTCCATATTGAATACAGATTACAACCTTATTGCATACAATACTATATCCACTGGGTATCCATTGGATATCCACACTATGTCCAGGAGGGTCGGACATTTATATATCCAATGGTTATCCATTGGATATCCCGGATATCCTATGTATATCCTGGATATCCATAAAAGAAATCCATTGGATATCCATTGGATGTAATTGTTCCGTGTGGGTGGTGACGGATTTTTTGACGGTGAGTGTAAATCCGAAAAACGAAGACAGCAAATTCTTTGAATGATTTAAATTGATTTGTAGAAAATAAATAAATTATGGGTCTGAAAAACATATTATAATAAAATAGTGGGTGTTTATTAATAGTAGGTATAGGTATAGTCTATAGAAAAGTTTATAAACGAGGTGCATACTATACTTTTTCTACGACAATTACTTATTATCTTAAAATGATTTAATTCAAAAATTTGTATAGAGCGCCATCTATGAAACAATAGGGGAATCTGTGTGTCACCATCAAATGTCATATTTAGTTATTTTAATAACACAGATTATAAAGGTTATAAATCGAAATGTAATCCTTGAAAACTGACAGTTTTTCACAGTGAAAGTTTTATGAGCACTTTACAGTGGGGTCCGTGCGTGTTATAGTTTACTGCCGGCGAAATTAAAAGGTCAGTACAATGTTCATATAAACTTTTCAAATATTGGCGTTGAGAAACTATTTAATACTTTTGTATTTTTGCATTGAGATAATAAAATAATTTTCACATTTAGTATTATTTTACGAGGGCACTTTATTTTAACGATTGTATGACATTTGACAACTGTCAACTAACTTAAAACTAACTTCAGCCCGTGACTAAAATCCTGTTGCTAACTTCAGCCCGTGACTAAAGCGCCATAAAGCCACAACTTGTCAATGTGTATTTCAAAGTTCACTTAGTGTCATGGAAACATGTACGATAAAGAGCGTTTTAAAGGTGGGAGTAGAAAAAAATATTTAAACATAAAAAAGCAGATGGGTATAAATATGTAAGAACAATATGTAATTATATTTACAAACAACAATAGAATTGTTTAGCTCAACCTCCCGACCTCCCACCGAGCTAATTACATTAACCATATATCGATAAGCACTCTATCTATAAACCATATATCTCAACGCAAGTTTTTATACTGCCCTCGTTTTTACAGTTTATTCCGTACTACTCGACTTTTTGATGAATCAGGGATATTAACTAAACATAACATCTCAGCTATATCCATTACCAATAAATAACGTACCATGGCCGTACGTGAACCAATTTATTTATCTAACACGGCCATTCTGCAATTAGCATGCCCTCATGCTAGGGTGATATAACTTACCCACCTTATATTTTCTTATTATCATAATTACTCATTGTAACTTTAGCAATATACTAAGCATGAGGCAGAGACTCCTTACCCAACCTAGTGGGACTTCAAATTCCTTACATTACTTACTTTGAACACTATAGAATTGGAAGGTAAAAATTGCAATCCTAAAATTAAATTATTATTAATAATAAGCACTTTTACATAAAGTAACTTTAAAAGCAAAAACTTAGATGACACTCCTTTCTATACAACTTATGAGGTACTCTTACACAAGTACTATTTACTACAATTTTAACATATTGGGACTCCCAACTAATTAATTATGTGAGACTCTCACATAATTACTGATTTAAGACTCTTAAATCACAAATGACTACCGGGACTCCCGGAACAAACATCATTTAGGGACTGTCTAATTATTTTACATGGAGACTCTCCATTGTACGCTGTTGATACTCCCAATCAGAAATTTATTTTATGGGACTCCCATGTATAATTGATTTAAACTCTTAAATGGCTACCGGGACTCCCGGGCCAGGAAACATCACATTAGGGACTCCCTAATGTATTTCACATCTAATCATTTAGTGGACTCCAGTTCACCAAAAATTCAACTGGTACTCCCAGTTACATAAAATATTAATTTTGGTAACACCAACAATTTATTTTCTTTCGGTTGATACTCTCAACCAAGGCAGCGCACCTTATCAAACAATGAATCTGAGACTCTCAGTTTCAACACGACAAAATTTTGTAAATCTCTCACAAAATATTTCTTTTGGATTGATACTCTCAATCCGGGCAGCGCACCCTCAATCAATAGTGAACAACTCTCGCTATTTACAAAGATTTCAAAATCTTTCAAATGGATACTCTCCACATAATAATAAATAAATAAAATAAAAACAAAAATACTTACAATTTTTGTAGTTTCGATCATAATTTTCCAGTGTTTACTGAAGGCCAACGTCTTAGCTGGTCCCGTGAGGCTACCGTTGTTCGCTTGCCACCACTACCGAGACAGTAGCGATCATTCTTTAGGACCTTTTGTACCACAAACGTACCCTTAAACCTGGCACCTAATTTGCCCCTGCCGGGAGCCTGTGTCTCCTCAATTAATACTTTTTCACCTACTGCAAAAGTGGTAGCAATTTTTCTGTATTTATTTAAAATAACAATTAAATAATTCTTTTGAAAATTTTATTATTTTATAATTAAATCATTCTAAATCCAATACATTCTTAATTTACAACGTTATATGAGACTCTCAATTTATAAAGTAACATAAACAAACATGGAACATGATAATAATAAAAAAAAAACTGGTCTTACAATTTGTTTAACACAGCTGTCGGCCAAATTCGCATTTGCTCGCTGGCAGCAACAGTTTCCCGCTTTCCACCTTTCCCTAGGCAATAACGGTCATTAGGCAACACCTCCTTGACAGTGAATGGCCCCTTATATCTCGGGCCCAATTTTCCCCTTCCAGGAGCTTGAGTATCCTCAACCAGTACACGATCACCAACATTAAAAGCGTTTGCTGGCTTCCGATTTTGATTCAGCCGATCTATAGTGTTTTGACTTTTTTTAATTAAACGCTGTTTTACAGCTTCAGTTGCGGTTTCCATATTGATACTTGGCAGACTAACATTTCTTAACAGCGGCTGTGTAGCTGGCAATTCTAAATTTGTACCCCACATTAGAGCTGCCGGAGTCATACCAGTGGATGTATTGATGGTATAATTAATATTTTCTTCTATTTGTGGCAGAATGCTGGTCCATATTTTTTCTTTTTCCGCAGTTAATGTGGATCTCATCAGGTTAAACAAGGTTCTCATAAGTCGCTCTACGACACCATTTCCACGAGGAACTCCTGTGGCTACCAAATGTAACTTTATTCCAAAGGCTTCTAAAAATTGGGCAAAATCTTTTGATGAAAAAGCAGTTCCTCGATCAGCAATAATCTTTTTAGGCACACCAACCTGCTCAAAAACCTTATCAAGTGCAACAATAACATCATGTGTAGTCTTTTTGTTAACTGGAATTAATTTGCAAAATTTTGTAAATGCATCTATTATGACAAGTATTTGCGTGCAGCCATTCGACTTAACCAGCGGTCCCGCATGATCAATATGCCATATGTCCAACGGTTGATCTGGCTTTTCACCTAACTGAAATAGACCTCGCCGATAACCAGTGTGCGATTTTCCTATTGCACAAGCACGACAATTATCAACATATTTTCGGACGCACTTTTGCAACCTCGGCCAATAGAGTGATTCTTGTAGTTTTGCAATCATTTTACCAGCGCCAATGTGTGTTGAATCGTCATGATATGCCTTTAAAATTCGAAGTCGTGCTTTTTCAGGTACATAACAACGCAAAACCTTTGTTGGGCCTACAATTCTGTAAATTATTCCATCTTTAATGCGAAATTGATGCTGTTCAGGAATAGGCAATGTTCCTTGCATAGCCTTTCTACAAATTTCATCATCTTTTTGGTATTCTTCTATAGACAAAAGGGGTTTATTCAAGTCAGATTTGACAACCCGGCGTACAACTGGATTACGGCTCAGATAGTCGACATGTTGCATTTTATGTCCTGGACGATATTCGATGTTAAAGTCAAATTCTTGTAATTTAATCCACCAACGGGCCACTCGCGGGTGCATTTCCTTTTTTAATGCTGTAGCTCGAACTGCATTACAATCAGTAAAAATTGTAAAATGATGACCGAATAAATAAACTCGAAAATATTGAGTAGCTTCCACGATGGCTAGTGTCTCAAGGTCAAACGAATGGTATTTCGACTCACACTCAGTTGTTCTGCGACTAAAATAGGCCACAGGGTGCATTTTGTCCTCATGTTTCTGTAACAGCATTCCTCCAATTCCCAATGCAGAAGCATCAGTGTGAAGTTCTATATCGAGGTCGGGATTATAAATTTTTAATATGGGTTGTGCTGTTAGCAATTTAATGATTTCTTGTCGAATTTGTTCGTGTGACTCTTCCCATTTAAAAGTTGTATTATTTTTTCGTAAAAGTGATGTAATAGATGCTGTTCTTACTCCAAAGTTTTTGATAAATCGTCGAAAATAGCTTGCTAATCCCAGAAATTGACGAACACCTCGTTGGTCAGTTGGCGGTGCTGATTTGGCTAGTGCCTCAACTTTATTTGGACTAGGTTTAACACATCCATTACCTACTTGAAGACCCAAATAATCAATCTCCTGCCGAAGAAAACGGCACTTCTCATAATTCAGGGAAAATCCTCCAACAGCCAGTGCATCTAGAACCAACGAGAGATTTTCGAACGCTTTTTCTTTAGTTTCTGCTGGACATATAACATCATCCATGTATACCAGAGCTACATTGTTCTTTAAGGTGCCCAATGCCTTGTCAATGGCTCGTTGATAGGCTGATGGGGCATTAACAAAACCAAATGGCATTACATTGTATTCAAAATGACCATCTGGTGTAATAAAAGCAAACAGATGCTTCGAATTTTCTTCTATTTTCATTTGGTGAAATCCTGCCTTCATGTCAAGTAGTGAGAAATAGCGATATTTATACAAAGCATCTATTTGATCCTGTATTCTTGGTAGGGGATAGTGCTCTTTAGCTACCCGCTTATTGAGATCACGGTAATCCACGCATAATCGCAAAGAACCATCCTTCTTGGTAACAAGGACAATTGGGCTAGCATATTCGGAATGGCTTTCACGAACAAGTCCCTTTTGCATCATTTCATCGATAAGAGCTTTGACTCTAATTCTTTCGGCGTAGGCCAGATGACGTGGACGATGTACTACAGGTGTGGAATCCTTTAATTTAACAGTTAACTCAGCCGTTGTTATAAAAGGTATTGTTTTATCAAGATTTTGCGTTAACAGGCACAACAAACGTTGTTTTTCCGCTTCGGCCAATCCTGTCTCATCAATAGAAATATCGCTGCTCCGCTTCACAGCAGCCACCGTAGAAATGTATGCATTTTTATACTCAAGGTCTATACATCCTGCTGACTTCACTAATTCTAAACCTGGAAGCTGAATAATATCCAGGCCTATCAAAGCGTCTGCGCTACCAGGCATGGCTTCATCAGCAATGATCAAAAATGAAATTTCCAGTAAAACATTGGGTAAAGCAACAAAAAGTATGCATCGTCCTTCGCAGGTTACGGAGGTTCCCACCGTATTAAGTTTTGTGTAATCGGGTAATATTGTAACGCACAAACGATTGACAAAACTTTTCCGAATTATTGAAACTTCAGATCCAGTATCAATTAAATAAGATAAATTAGCAGCTCTTCCTTCTAACAAAATCGTTGCAATTGGAGTTTGATAAATTGATCGAACAGGTCGTATGCATTGAACTACTTTAGGTTTACCATTCTTCTTGGTATAACAGTCCTCTTCCAGATGCCCTAGCTTCTTACAATAAGTACACTCTTTTCCTTTATATTGCTCTTTTTCAGATCCGCTCCGTTGTGTACCGCTTGGCCGATCGCGTTTGTAACAGTTTTTTTCGCGATGACCCGTTTTACCACACCCGAAACATTTCCCAAAGAAATTACTGTCTTTATTACGAACGCGATTTCCAGACGTACTGGTTTCTCCTTTATGCGTATTTCGATCCCATCGTCCAAACTTTGATTCGCGTGACACCGTACTAGTATTTAAACGCTTATTTGAACGATACATTTCGTCTTTTTGTCGAGACACAAGTGATTTTTCAGCCTCGTATTGTCCGAGTAATTTTAATAAACTTTGTTGATCTTTAGGCTGCCTAGCCTGAATTAAATCTCTTGCACTTTGGTTTTCTAATCCCGTCACGACACAACTTAAAATATAGTCCCACGAAAGCGTGTTTAAAAATCTCTTTAAATAACGAATTTTTGTTAACACGTAATCATTTAAAGTTTTAAAGTTTTCACTTTTTAAATTTGCGGCCCGCACCATTCGTGTCCCATGTGTTTCGCCATCAGGAAATGCGTTGGTAAAATCATTAACAAAATTCGTCCAATTCCGTTCAACGGGACGCCAATGGTTATAAAAATTTAACGCCTTACCTTTCAGTGCATCTGCGCAACGCACAATCATCCAGCTTTCGTCTATCAAGAGCCGATCCTTTATTTTTGTCACGTCTTCCAACCATTCAACTACCGTATGGGCGTCATCATCTGGGTCGAAGGCCGTCAAACGAAAACGAGCATCGGGCTTGATTAATGAGGTGTTGACTGATTCTGGCACTTGTACACTGTCGGCGGCTAACCTTGTTTGGTCACGTTCTTTTAAATGTTTTAAAAATATTTGCATGGTCTTTTCAAATGCTTGTACGTAAGGCACTGCCACTTGAGGAACCGATTGTTGTATCGCGGGAACACTTTCAACAATATTACTATCTTTATTTATATTTTGATCAGCGATAACACTAAATTCATCGTCTGTAGCATCTGCATCACTTTCGTAATCACAAATCGACTGCATTTTTAATGTTTTTATTTACACGGGCACTATTGGATAATATCCCACTTCTGATGTAAGAACAATATGTAATTATATTTACAAACAACAATAGAATTGTTTAGCTCAACCTCCCGACCTCCCACCGAGCTAATTACATTAACCATATATCGATAAGCACTCTATCTATAAACCATATATCTCAACGCAAGTTTTTATACTGCCCTCGTTTTTACAGTTTATTCCGTACTACTCGACTTTTTGATGAATCAGGGATATTAACTAAACATAACATCTCAGCTATATCCATTACCAATAAATAACGTACCATGGCCGTACGTGAACCAATTTATTTATCTAACAAATATGTAAATAAACATAGTTTAAAAAGCAAGTGGGAATTTATTATAAAATTTGTAGATATTTATAAAAAATATAAAAAAAAACAAAAACATAAATATTTTTATATATATACTCATTCTACAGAATATCAAAAAATATACAATTTTATAAAATGAATAAAAATTCATAAAAATAATGCAAATTATGAAAAACCTAGATAAAAATAATAATTTAAACAATCAATAAATAATATTTATAAATAAAAACAACATTTAAATAAACTGAATTTTTTTGAATGATAAAAAATGTTAAAAATGTAAAATTTGTATTTTAATAGTACATTATGTATTAAGTTTAATAATCGCATTGTAGTCATGAATTTTAATTAGAAACCAAAGAAGCTTACGAGCGAGTTTTTAATAAAATGAGTGCCTTATAATCAAGTTGCAAACTATACTTTTTCTATGACAAATATTATAAAAATAATTTATTACTAAGTAATTAAAATATTTGTATAGAGTGACATCTATACAAAAATAGAGTAGCCAAATTGGTGTTAGGAATCTGTTTTACCGGCTTTTAAAATGGCAGTGTTAATTTTTTTTGTAAAAATAGTTTTTCACAGTGAAAATTAGGAGGATGATTTATGAGTAGCTACTCCACCCGAAATTGTAATGCTTTATTGGCAAATACTAGTTTACTGTCGGCAAACTTTGGCGGCAATAAACTATTTAATAATTTTGTATTTTTGTAATGAGGTAATAAAATAATTTCCACATTTATACTATTGTGTTATTTCCAAAGAAGTCAACTAACTTAAACCCGTGACTAAAATGTCATAAAGTCACAGCTTGTCAATGTGATACATGACATATAATAAAAACATGTACGCTAATGGGCGTTTTAAAGTAAGAGTAAAAAATATGATGAACTAACTAAATATAAAGTTCTTTAATTAAAAAAACATAAAATTCAAAATGGATTTACCACTGTGTCCTGAAAGGCTGTTATTCTCGGAATTGTGGAAATTGTGCAGTATACTTTTTTTTCTAACCGGCCCCATTTCCGCATGTTCGGACGTGGACGAGACTTTTCGACTTCTCGGGGATTCGAACCCTGGATTGTCATGACCACCCTCGATAATGCTCACTTTACGGTAATGAGGAAGTTCCAGGTGAGTCGGTATAGTAGGTAGCGGATTGGTGGAAACCGTCTGGTCCTGATCTGAGGACATGTCTAAACAAAATAAAACATATAGTGGTTAGCCAGTGCGGTCTTTTATAAAGTCATTGATTAAAAATGATGATCTTTTAAAATAACCTTACCTACTCCAATAAGAAGATAAATAAATGTTTTTAAAAATTAAATAAATAAAATCTGACATCAGATTCTGTCAAATGGTTAACCTTACTTTTTACCAATTTATAAATGTTATTATAGTCGCCTTCTTCTAATTTAAAACCCGATTGGTAAATATTGAAATCGGCCAATCACTGATGCCTAACAACGTGAATAATGAGTTTATTATTCACGTTGTTAGGCAGGGAATTAATAATGTTTATCAATATTCACGAAAAAAAACAAAATTATGCAATGGAAGTAGATAAAATAATATTTAGCCAAAACTAGTTGTCTCAAGTATTATACTAAAAAAGTTCAAACCTCTGACTGTATTCATAATAGAAAAATAAAAATAGTACTAAAAATAGAGGTTCGTTAACCACTAAATATGTATTAAACTAATTATAAATTTATTTTCATTGTTAGCATACAAATATCGTTTGGTATTCGAAGCGTGTACGTAACGAAATTCCCTCTAAATACGTGAGGTCTTGAAAAATATATTCAAGGATAAAAGATATAAACTATGTATTTGGTTTGATAAGTTAATTTAATTATAAAATAAGTTCTTTAAAAAAAACAATTATTTAATTATAAAAATAATAAACAAAGGAAATAAAAAACTTTAACAAAACTAAAAAATGAAAATACAGGGGCATTTTTTAATTTTAAAAAATGACTTTCCCACTAATTTGATGTAAAAAATAAATGTTAAATACCCATCAAATAAATACACTCCACAACAATTGAACTGGATAATAATTATTATAATCATCCCAAAATTTTATTGTAATAAATTATTACTAATAATGTTGTTAAGTCGATCCCACTCTATATTTTTAATTTCTTTTGTTGTTACTTCTTTAACACAAATATATACATATGGGGCAAAATTTGCCAAGTGTACCACCGATTTTGTTTAAACTTTACTTATTTGTTGTTCTTATAACGAAGTATCATAGCATACAATTTTTTTGCTCTAGGATTGTTCATTCAAGAGTCATGAATTATTGAAATTTATCGATTTATTACTTTTTGGTGAAATCGCTTTTTATTTAAAAATTCATAACTTCTGTTAATCTCTTTATTAAATATTTTAATTTAACCACCTTAAATGATTTTTTCCGTACTTTTTAATGGGCTATACCGTTTTTGCAACAAAAAAAAATGCATTTTTTTTTTTGAAATTTTGCAATATTTTGCATTTTTTTAAACAATGTGTATTTTTAATTTTTTTTTAAAATAGCATAAAATCGAAGTTTATTATGTTACCTTTGAATAAAAAAAAATTTAGAGTGGGCCCGACATGTAGAAGGGAAGTTTTTCATATTTGAATGCGTGCGGGTCTAGCCATCGAATAGCTACTACACTGCCGTATGCGGTTATACCTAGTAGATGCGAGTAAACGAATACAAAATGATAATTTAAAATGTAAAATTAGTATGGTAGGGCGAAAAATTGAAGAAAAACAACACCAACTATTCTTTCTGTATTTTACTTTAGCCACAAAAATAAAAATTAACATTATTCTAGTAATATCCGCCAAACATCCTCCGAATTACGAAATCTACAAATCATATTTTAATCTCTAATTAATTAAATGACCGTTACGGTTTAAAAAGTAAGTACGGCGAATGTTTAGAGCTCGTCATGACAGCAAAAACCGTTTATAGACATTATATATTATTAACGCCATTGACCTATTCAGCTTATAGGCAAGCCGTTACGGTTATAACAATAAATTTTTTATTTAATATCATCGATCCTCCTTGTGAAATCTATGTAGACCCATGCTTAAACAATTTGTGCAAAAAAATACAGTTAAAAAACTATATCGTGCGGCAGTGTAAATATTTAAAATATATCATTGACTACTCAAACATAATTTTACATTTTAAATTATCATTTTGTATTAGTTTACTCGCATCTACTAGGTATAAACGCATACGGCAGTATACGTAAAAGTGACGTTTTAAAATTAAAACCTTTATAGAGCCGATAATTGTTCCATTTGCAGGTGTGATGGGATTACGAAAATGGAATGGCCAGCATGTTCACCAGACATTAATTGCATTGAACACGCTTGCGCCGAAATGATCAGGCAATTCATTTGGCTTCAACAACCTCCACTAACATTGCAATACATGGCCAATGAGTTGCATGCAATCTAACAAAACATACCTCGAGACTATATTAATTACTATATTAAAGTTGATCATGAGTATTCCAACAGGGTAACATCATTAAGGCAAGCCAGGGGGTGTCCTACACTATATTAAACTTTTATACAGCTGTTGCAAATACCAGCAATTTAAAACATTTTGTTTCTTATATTTGTATCTTTTACTTTAATTACCCATTTCTTTAAATTTAATTAATGGTTTTTTTTATTTATTTTGTTGTATCATAAAGTCCATCAGTAAACTATTATTCAATGTACCTAATTTTTTAACCTGACAATTTTAAAATTGTTCTAATATCCACTTCAATTGTTGATCAGTGTATATCTATTATGTTTACAAATGTATAACAAAAATAATAAAAAAAAGTATGACCAAAATTATTATGGAATTTGATAATTCTGATCCTAGCATATGATCTTAATTGGCCAAGTCGTTCAGAAGTTACACGATCGCATTTACGATTATATACAGTGTGTCCCCGGATTGACTCGGCCAAGTTTTTTATACTTCTTAAAAATTTTGACTTTTTGTTTATTATTAAATAATAATTAAATTTTGTGGGTTCATAAATTCTACAAAATGCAATGTTTTCAACTCAACAACTTTTTAAATTTGGACAATGTAACAATAATACTTGTAAAAAAGATGACGACCATAAAATAAAAAAATAAAAAAAGTCTTTAATAAAATAAAAAATAAAAAAAGTCTTTAATTTAAACCATTTTAAAGATATTTCTGGTAAAAAATTAAACTTAAAATATAAAAAACTAACTTGCGTGAATTCTCACAAAACTAAATCATTAAACTATTGATCTCTTGGTAAGTAGAATGTTCAATATTTGAACTAAATTTTGCATAAAGGAAATTATTTCCACTAACAGCGTTTTATAAAAATCATTTAAATAGGTAGGTATATTAAATATAAACACAATTTGTATAAAATATATACACAGAGTACTCGGAGACAATCGTCCTGTAAAAAAACTTTCTTTATTATCATCTGTGTAATTTTTGTATTAATATTTCAAAATATTTGGGTAGTAATTTTAGTTATTAATATTGTTTAGTCTGTCACATTTATTAAAATTTAGTATTATTCGAACTTGACATCAATTATAAATTGATTTAACATTAAACAAAATGATAAGTACAAGTAGACACTATTTTTATATAAATCGATTTATCTGTCTAGATGGCTACTACAAGATTAGATAATAATTTTACCAAACTAAAAAAAACATTTTTTAAACAACTTAAAAAGGACAAATTAACATGTAAGTGTGCTATAATTATAATTATTTTCCCATATATTTTGTTTTTTATTTGGGTACTCATAAAACTTTATTTTAGTATTAATTTAATATAATAACATGCAAATATTATGTTAATAATATAGACTATTCTTTTAATCGTGATTTCAATGCAATACACAAGGTTTTCGATGTAAAAATTACAAAATACCTAGAAGACGTATAACGTTACATGATAATAAAAATAACAATTGCGAAAACACTTGACAATCTAGATTGTATTTTTTTTAATAAAACCACTACACCGAGAAAAGTATATAAGTAATAAGACTTCTATATAATATTTTGTAAAAGGGGCAAATTTGAAAATATCACTAAATTAACAAAAAGGGTCTTAAAAAAAATTGCCTATTGACAATAAATTGTCGCATTAATAAAGAAAAGTCAAATTTTAACATATTAAATGCAGTTACATATAGAATTAAATTCTATTTTAAAACTATTTTTAAAACACTTGTACTATTTGTAACAGGAGAGCACGAAGTCGCAATTTCATTACAAAATATAAATATTTTAATAAAAGATTACATAATATTATCATTTTTGAAATATTTAGATAAAAAATAATTATTTAAACGTTTTAATAGTCCGTATAAAACATATTAAAAAGTTAATTATGTATTAAAATTATTTACCTATAGTTACCAGGCTAAACAAACAAAATGATGGATTTTAAATAATAAATTTAAAAAAAATATTGCTATTATACGGATCTTCACGCTTTTATATTTTTATAGATGGAACATTAACATTATTATTATTATTATTAATTACTAAACTTTATTGAAATTTTTTAAGTAGGAACGAATTTGTAGCTAAATTAAAAATGTAAAATAATTACTATTTACAAGTTATCCATGAAAAAACAATTAAAAAATTAAACTAATAGTAATATGGTATAAATATTCTTATTGTGCAGTAGAGGTGACGAAAATCTAATTGTAGATAATTTTTTGAATTCTATATTTTTTGTTGTAAACTAAGCATAGATTTTTTTCAATCGTTTCAATACAATTTAGTATATGGTGGTTTTGGGGGGGTGGTGAATACAGTGCCGTGCATAGATTTTTTTAAATGGCTAATATGAATTCCAAAAATACACTTTATTAAGATCTACACTTTAAAACAAATCCGGTTAAAATTACATAATAAATTAAGATTTTACAATGCGTCACACTGTAAGTACAATGTACATGTACATATATACATTTTACATGGGCCCCTAAAGATTTAAAAAAAATTATTTAATGCTAGGTCACTTATTGTCCGATTTTAACCATTTTGGTAAAAATATTCGAATTAATTTAATTAAGCGAATTTAAGTATTTTTTAATTAAAAAAAAATTCTTCAGCCATTTTGTTTTAATTCAATGATGATATTTTAGTACGTTAAACTGCATTA